TGGAGGGGGTCATCTGGCACGCCGACACTGCTCTCCCGCTACTTCCTGCACCAGAGGGGCTCAGCGGCGATGTCGCCCTGCTTCCTACACCAGAGGGGTTCGCCGCCGCCGCTGCCCTGCTTCCTGCACCAGAGGGGTTCGCCGACGCCACTGCCCTGCTTCCTGCACCAGAGGAGTTCGCCAACGCCGACGCCCTGCTTCCTGCACCAGAGGAAGTCGCCATCATCCCGGCCCCTGCCTGTGGGTGCTACATCCCAGCTGCGCTGCTGCTGCAGCCATCGTTCCAACCATCCTCAGTCCGGCGCTGAGGTCGTCCTCCCGAACGGCCGCTACGCTCTCAAGCCTGGCACCAAGGTCGCCCTCCCGAACGGCCGTTACGCTCTCAAGCCTGGCACCGAGGTCGCTCTCATGAACTGCCTTCTTTGCCCCTGCCTTTTCTTTTGGACACTGTACTCGGTTTTGGGACGTTTGTGTTTTGGCCTGGTTTTGTACATTTTGGGATATTCTGTCTGGACCTTGTACACTGTCTTTGGGACCTTTTGTTTTTGTTTTGTGTCATGCAGGGGTTGTTTTTTGTTGTTCGGCCGTGTCCCTCCTTCCGGGGTCCCCCTTCTCCCGCCCTGCTTCTTTTGTGGTCTGGGATCCCGCCTTTGGGTGCGGGGGTGGGGCGCTGCCTTTCTTCCGCCATTTTCTCGACTTGCCTTTCTTCCGCCTTTCTCTCCTCTGTACTATCGACCTGCGGGATTCGCACCTCAGCTGTGTTGCATTCGTAATTAGCGATTCGTTTGTCGGTGCACACAGCTGGGGTGCATCCCGCTGATTGAATTCCTCCCTTATTTATACCTTTGGCAGATGCTTCGCCCTCGCCGGAGCATTACCCAAAGTACGTGACTTATTCACCTAACTAAGAACATGTTTATTGCACACGATGAAGACGTGTTGGAAAACAGAAATGCTGACAGTGACTGTGCGTTCCTTTTCTGTCATCACGTTATAGTTATATGTGCTAGTTACCTGTACCACTCCCAACGCTGACAGTGACTGTGCGTTGGTTTTTGGTTGTTTGCTTCTTTTGTTCCTTTTTATTTTTTCTCGTCTGCCGTCGACT